TTTAGATTCACATAAAATGATAAACATTGTCATGTTTAATATTATTTGGATTGCAAAATAGTGTTATCAAACATAACTTTATAATCTAAAGCTTAACTTTCTCATTTTATATTAAAGGTATACTAAAACTATAAATATTTACCAAAAATGTGAATAAAACAGTCAAGGAGAGACTGGCATTAAAAGTTTTTGCTATTGTAAAAATGTTGCTAAATTCACCCTCCACAAAGATCTTTAGCAAAAGAAGGGTTCAATGAACGCAATTCAAAGGAAATAATTATTAGTGTTCTTTTAGAAAATCAGCTCAAAATTATCTAGTTATCCTACAGAATTTTTAATAAATAGTTTCACTGGAAAATTGAACACACCAATCTATATTAATCCATAATCCCCGTTATTTCTGTCTATACATAGCTATGTTGGTCATCAGAAACAAAAAAGAAACTAAGATTTTATTTTGAACTCGAAGAGTGAATAAGCCCAGAGTAAAAGAAAAGCTCGAATATTTAAGACATTTTGTACACTTTCTCCTAATTATCTCCTATACATCATAGATTTTTGTATAATGTATTGAAGTTAAGACACCAGCTTTTAGAATATTGTGAAATTTACTAATACACAAGTTGGTTTTTATTTTCAGTTTTATTTGATTTCTGGAAAGAAAACTATCTAAATTTGTCTGTAGCTATGTAAATACATACTTATCTTGAATAGATGTTTATATAAATTTTATAAATAGAGTAAATGTTTAGGTATTTGTATATTTTAAGAATAGAGTATGGGTTTGTGGTTACAGAGTATAATCATATTTTATTCCTTTTATATAATAGTAATCTGCTTTTCCATCAGTCTGTCCATTCATCCAGTGTGAGTAATTAAGACTCAGAGCTGAGCAATAGCACAGTGGGTAGGGAGTTTGCCTTGCATGCCATTGATCCGTGTTTGATTCCTTCATCCTTCTTGGAGAGCCCCGCAAGCTACCGAGAGTATCCCGCCCACACAGCAGAGCCTGACAAGCTCCCCATGGTGTATTCAATATGCCAAAAACAGTAACGGGTCTTACAATAGAGACGTTACTGGTGCCCATTCAAGCAAATCGATGAAAAATGGGAAAATAGTGCTACAGTGCTACAGAGTTTTGAAAACTGATATAAATTCCAATTCTTCTTTGAGTTTTCTGTTTTAAACACTTTAGTGAATTATATTCACTTTTGATCACCTACCATTCTGTGAAAAGAAATTCTGTGAACAGTAGCAGATTTGTATGAAGAATACTGTTTTCTACTTCTTTCTTCATTTAGTAAACAATCTTTGGGTAGAGTTATTTTTCACAGGAATCTGGAAAACAGAATACTTTAATATATGAGCTAAGTGTCACCTATGATATATGCATATGAATATTCTTTCTTGATATAGTTGGGTTAATGTTATTTCTTCCCTGTGAATATTATAAATATATCTGTCTGTAAGGGACACTGACCAAGAATATCCAGAAAATGTTCTTCAGCAGAATATATTACAAAGACACTTCATAGATTTGTATATATATACATACAGAAGTATATACATATATTAACATAATCACAGGATTGAGACTTCTTTTTTTAACTTATACAGGGCCTCTATATGCTTAAAGCAAGCTAACTCAAGAAGATATGTATGTGAAAGAAAGAAACATTTAGTTGGATATTACATTGGGAACCTTAATTATATACAACCCAAATTTCTGAGTTACGTGAAGAAATTAACAGAAGGAAAGGAACAGTCATAATGCAATGGCTTTAAAAAGTAATGTCTCTATGATAATTTTTTAAAAAATACAATATACTTGACATAGAAAATTAATATGATATGTTGTTTTCACATACTATATTTTAAAACTTATATCCACAAACTATTTTAGTTTCTGCTATATTTTACATATAGAACTTTAAATTTCATATTTCACTGTTGACATATTTCAAAGAAGGAAATTGTAATCCTTGTATAGTGTTTTCATTCAATTAACTCTATCTTTCTTTTTCTAAGCAAACAAGATGGCAATTTACTCAAAGTGAACCATAATAACATATATCAGCCAGAGTTGAACAAACATACCGCTGCTCAAGCTACACCTTTTAAAATCAAACAATTTTAAATAAAAGCAAACATGAACATAAATAGTGTTACCCTTCAGAATTTGACTGTTGACAGAAAAATGATAAAAATATAAAATTGGTTTGAATTTGTAAGGAAGTTAAATAATTCAGGAAGTGTTTTATTAACTGATAGGAAAGAGAACAGGATTTTGGTCTTTGCATTATCCAGTAATAATAAAAAAAATACAGCATGTAATATATGGGTAAAAACCAAAACAACTCTTCCTAACTGCAACAAAGTTTCGTAAGGTAGTGGAAAACCACATTCTTATCAAGCACACAAAAACCACCCCCCACAAACTGTTTTTAGCTGTTCTTCTTAATGTTAGTTGCAACATTAAAACAAAATGTGTTTTTCTTAATGTTATTGCAATGTTCAAACAACATGTGTCTATACATATTTTTACTAGGAACTGGTAGTTTTATTTTCAGTATATTAAAACAGAAATTTTAATGAGGAAGAATCGAATACTCATTATATACACTTTATCCATCTTAATACCTTCTGCACAGAAATACTATTGTTATATTTGAAAGTAGGAATTGCTCATCTCCAAAATATTATTAGCAAGGCATTATATTTTATTTAATATAAGGCAAAGAATTTTATTTTATTTAGATAGAACATAAGAATTATTCAAAGAAAGGCGTTCTTATGAAAATGAAATGTTTACAAATGTTCACAATAATGTATTTAATTATAAAGAAAAAGCAAAACTCTTACATTCATCTTTTACACAAAATACAAAAGTATTTTATTTTTTTCCAAAATGTATTAAAATTTAACGGTTCCCCACCTAAATGCCTTTAGTTTAAATTGTATTTAATGTAGCAGACATGTGGTGTTTCAGGATTAGATCCTAGATATTTCATTTACAAACTCTGTGTTATTTAGCATATCATTTTGATTATCAAAGACTTACTTTATGACAATGGAAGGATGCTGCATTTTGGACATTCATACTCACACAGACCTTTTCTGAAGCAAAAAATCTGTGTGAGTATGAAGACAGTATACTCAATAGATTTTGAGAAACACATTTTATGTTGTAAATTAATTGGTGTTGTAAAACAATTGTATGTTATACCATACACATATGAAATTATAATATTATTAATGGGATTTTAATCCGATTACATAAAAATTCTGTAAGCAGGATGTCAAATAATCTTTAAAACTTTTATTCTAAAATGTTTTTGCAAGTAACTTGATATATTAATAACACAATTTAAAATGTAAAGTGATGCAAGTTATACAATTTGCTCACTAGCAGTACACATACATTCAAATATAGTTCAATTAAAAATAATTAAATGCAAATACATATGCTTCAATTTTTTAAAAAAATGTTGACCACTAATTTTATCACTGGAGCGATAGCACAGCAGGTAGGGCGTTCGCCTTACAAGCGGCCAACATGGCCGACCCGAGTTCGATTCCTCCGCCCCTCTCGGAGAGCCCGGCAAGCTACCGAGAGTATTCGATATGCCAGACACAGTAACAACAAAGTCTCCAATGGAGACGTTACTGGGCCCGCTCGAGCAAATCGACGATCAACGGGAGGGCCTTTACCTTTACCTTTCAATTGAATCGCCCTTTTTCTGACTATATTGACCAGCAATGAAACAAAGCAAAGGATAGAAAATAAAATAAAATATTATTATTGTCTGAAATAAATTTTATTAATAATTTTTATTCTTAAAAGATTTTCTTCCTCACTATTTTCTATTCTTATACATCCATTAACTGCTTCTAATCCTTATAGACTAAAATATCCTAAAAAATTAATGAAATTATTGTTTTATGTTCAATATCCCCTTAGAATGTTAAGAATGATTCCTGATCATAGAACCAGGAATAAACCCTGCTTTACAAATATTTCTCTAGAAATATTAGAAATATGCACATGAGCCGTGTGGCGATCCTCCCGGCCTTTATCTCTAGTGTCCTTAGTTATTCTTCTATTATGTTGCCTTATATTAGGAATCCCATTTTCAAGGCTTTGAGAAATAGTCCTGTATTGGGTCTATACATGAATTGCCGTCAGTATTCTTTTTTAAATTCTCTACATTAGGCATTTTCTTTGCCTTGCACGCATCCAACCTGAGTTCGATTCCTCCGCCCCTCTCGGAGAGCCCAGCAAGCTACCAAGAGTATCTGGGCTGCATGGCAGAGCCTGGCAAGCTCCCCGTGACAAATTCAATATGCCAAACACAGTAACAAGTCTCACAATGGAGACGTTACTGGTGTCTGCTAGAGCAAAACGATGAACAACGGGAGACAGTGCTACAGTGCTACGGTGATAATGACAATTAAATAATGATCAAATGAAAGTGTGACAATATTTATTAAGCCAATAATTCTAGGGGATGGTGATGAATTTATCTATAAATGGAATATAATTGTATACTAAGTTTATAAAAATATATAAGGAAGATTAATATTTTATAGTCATTTTTCGGAAGAATGAAAACTATCTCAGATTTCATAATTTCCTTTAGATTTTTAAGAAATTTAAAAAAATCCTTTAGGATTGGAGCAATAGTACAGGCATGTGCTTGCATCAGGCCAACCCGGGTTCAATTCCCAGCATTTCATATGGTCCGCCAAGCACTGCAGGGAGTTATTCCAGTGTGCAAATCCAGAAGTAACCCTTGTGCATTGCTGGGTGTGACCCAAAAGGCCAAAAAAATCCTTGATGTTATGACCTAGAAACTATAAATTGAGCTTTTAACATCACAAAATATGGTCTATCATAGAAAACATCATTCTTGCACGTCATAAATATTATAGGTAAAACTTTAATGTTAAAACTAAATGCAAATGAATAAAGGAAAAGAAAATTAGGAAGTAATTACTTTGCGCTCACTTTGGCGGCACATATACTAAAATTGGAAAGATACAGAGAAGATTAGCATGGTCCCTGCACAAGGATGACACGCAAATTCGTGGAGCGTTCCATATTTTTGTCAACGGCCTAAATGCACCAGTCAAGAGACACAGAGTGGCAAAATGGATCCAGAAACAGAAACCAACATTCTGCTTTCTACAAGAAACACATCTGAACAATCAGAGCAAAAACAGACTCAAAGTAAAAGGATGGAAAACAATCCTGCAAGCAAACAACTCCCTCAAAAAAGCTGGGGTGACCATACTAGTATCTGACAACATTAATTTCACGTTGAAAAAGATTAGAAAGGACAGCGAAGGGCACTTTCTCTTCATCAAGGGAGACGTACAAAAGGAAGAAATCACACTCTTAAATGTATGTGCACCTAATGAGGGAATAGCTAAATACTTGAAACAACTGCTAACAGACTTTAAGGAGGACATTGCTAGCAGCACAATAGTAGCTGGAGACTTCAACATCGCCCTATCACCTCTGGATAGATCAACAAGAACAAAACTCATCAAAAAAACATTGGCTCTGAAAGAAGAAATAGAAGAGAAAGGACTTATAGACCTACACGGGGCTTTACACCCCAGAAAGAAAGAATACACATTCTTCTCCAGTGTGTACAAAACATTTTCCAAAATAGACCATGTGCTAGGCCACAAAACATACCTCAGTAGAATCAGGAAGATAGAAATACTACCAACAATCTTTTCAGACCACGATGCACTGAGAATAGAAATGAATCACACACAGACACGGAGAACCAAATCTAACACCTGGAAACTAAACAACTCAATGCTGAGCAATGAATGGATCAGGAAGAAAGTCAAGAACAAAATCAAAACATACCTGGAAACAAATGAGAATGAAAACACAAGCTACCAGAACTTATGGGATGCAGCGAAAGCAGTATTAAGGGGAAACTTTATAGCTCTGCAAGCATACCTCAAGATGGAAGAAAGGATGCACGTAAACAACTTAACTTCACAGCTCAAGATCCTAAAAAAGGATCAACAGAAGGAGCCCAAAGTAGGCAGAAGGAAAGAGATCATAAGACTTAGAGCAGAAATCAATGACATGGAAAACAAAGAAACAATGCAAAAGATCAATGAAACTAAGAGTTGGTTCTTCGAGAAAATAAATGAGATAGATAAACCACTAGCAACACTCACAAAGAAACATAGAGAGAGAACCCTAATAAACCAAATAAGAAATAAGAATGGGGATATTACAACAGAAACCAAAGAAATTCAAAAGATCATCAGAGGCTACTTTGAAAGTCTGTATGCCACGAAACAAGAGAACCTAGAAGAAATGGATAAATTACTGGATTCCTGTAATCTCCCGAAGCTGAATCAAGAAGATATAGAGTACCTGAACAGACCTATTAACATCAAGGAAATTGAAACTGTAATCAAAAGTCTTCCCCAAAACAAAAGCCCAGGTCAGATGGTTTCACTAGCAAATTTTTTCAAACATTTAAAGAAGACCTATTACCAGTTCTTCTCAAGCTTTTCCTGGAAATTGAAAAAAACAGAAATCTTTTCAAACAGTTTCTATGAAGCCCATATTTCCCTAATACCAAAAGGAAACAAAGACACCACAAAAAAAGAAAACTGCAGGCCTATATCCCTGATGAACTCGGATGCAAAGATTCTCAACAAAATGCTAGCAAATAGAATTCAGCTACTCATCAAAAAGATCATACAACATGACCAAGTGGGATTCATCCCGGGGATACAAGGATGGTTTAACACTCGGAAATTAATCAACATAATCCATCATATCAACGAAAGAAAGAATAAAAATCATATGATCATATCAATAGATGCAGAGAAAGCATTTGACAAGATCCAGCACCTGTTTATGATGAAAACCCTTGCCAAATTGGGGATAGAAGGGACTTTACTCAATATAGTTAAAGCCATCTATCACAAGCCTACAGCAAGCATCATCCTCAATGGGGAAAAACTAAGAGCCTTCCCCTTAAGATCAGGGACCAGACAAGGGTGCCCACTCTCTCCACTACTGTTCAATATAATACTGGAAGTACTTGCAATAGCGATTAGACAAGAAAAAGATATTAAGGGCATCCAAGTACTAAAGGAAGAAATCAAGCTCTCACTATTCGCAGATGATATGATACTATACTTAGAGAATCCTAAAACCTCTACCAAGAAACTCCTAGATACAATAGATCTGTATAGTAAAGTTTCAGGCTATAAAATCAATACCCAAAAGTCCATGGTTTTCCTATATGCAAATAGTGAGAGAGAAGAAAACAACATGAAGAAAATAATCCCGTTCACAACTGTGCCCCAGACATTCAACTACCTAGGAATTAGTTTAACTAAAGAAGTCAAGGACCTGTACAAAGAAAACTACAAAATGCTGCTTCAGGAAATAAAAGAGGATACAACGAAATGGAAAAATATACCCTGTTCATGGAATGGGAGGATTAACATTGTCAATATGGCAATATTTCCCAAAGCACTGTACAAATTCAATGCAATCGCTATTATAATACCCATGACATTCTTCAAAGAACTGGAGCAAACACTCCTGAAATTTATATGGAACAATAAGCCCCCACAAATAGCTAAAGCAATTCTTGGGAAAAAGAAAATGGGAGGAATCAACCTCCCTAACTTCAAACTCTACTACAAAGTAGTAATAATTCAAACAGCATGGTACCGGAACAAAGGCAGAACAGCAGACCAATGGAACAGAGTTGAATATACTGACATCTCCTCCCAAACATATGATCACCTAATCTTTGATAAAGGAGCAAGAAATGTGAAGTGGAGTAAGGAAAGCCTTTTTATCAAATGGTGCTGGCAAAACTGGACAGCTACATGCAAAAAAATGGGCTCAGATCTCTGCCTAACACCATGTACAAAAGTAAGATAAAAATGGATGAAAGACCTCAACATCAGACCGGAATCCATAGCGTACATTGAAGACAAAGTTGGCAAAACCCTCCATAATATTGCAGTTAATTGTGCCTTCATAGATGTCACGCCACTGGCTAAGCAAGTGAAAACAGAGATAGACAAATGGGACTATCTTCAACTAAGAAGCTTCTGCACCTCAAAAGAAACAATGACCAAAATACAAAGAGAGCCCACAGAATGGGAAAGGATATTCACCCAATACACATCTGACAAGGGGCTGATATCAAGAATATACAAAGTTCTGGTTGAACTACACAAGAAGAAAACATCCAACACTATCAGAAAATGGGGCGACGAAATGAACAGAAACTTCATCAAAGATGAAACTCGAATGGCTAAAAGACACATGAGAAAATGCTCTACATCATTTATGATCAGGGAGATGCAGATCAAAACAACAATGAGATATCATTTCACACCACAGAGACTGGCCCACATCCAAAAGAACAAAAACAACCGGTGCTGGTGCAGATGTGGCGAGAAAGGGACCCTCTTTCACTGCTGGTGGGAATGCTGACTGGTTCAGCCCTTCTGGAAAACAGTATGGATGATTCTCAAAAAACTAGAAATTGAGCTCCCATTTGACCCAGCAATTCCACTCCTGGGAATATACCCCAGAGAGGCAAAAAAGTATAGTCGAAGCAACATCTGCAGTTGTCTGTTCATTGCAGCTCTGTTTACAATAGCTAGAATCTGGAAAAAACCTGAGTGCCCAAGAACAGATGACTGGTTAAAGAAGCTTTGGTACATCTACACAATGGAATACTACGTAGATGTCAGAAAGGATGAAGTCATGAAATTTACATACAAGTGGTACTACATGGAAAGTATCATGCTAAGTGAAATGAGTCAGAAAGAGAGGGATAGACATAGAAATATTGCATTCATCTGGGTAACATAAAGTAACAAAATAGGAGACTAACACCCAAGAATAGCCGAGATAAGTACCAGGCGGATTACTCCATGGCTTTGAGGACAACTGCACACACTAGGGGAAAAGGCAGTTCTGATAGAGAAGGGAGCACCGAAGAAAGGGTGTTGGGAGGTTCCTCTCAGGATGGGAAATGCGTGATGAGAGTAGACTATAGTCCAAACAAGATTGCCACTCAATATCTCTTTTGCAAACCACAGCACTCAAAAGGAGAGAGATAACAAAAGGGAATGCCCTACCACAGTGGTAGGGTGGGATGGGGTATGGGGGGAAGTGGGGTGGGAGGGATACTGTGACTGGTGGTGGTGGAGAATGGGCACTGGTGGAGGGATGGGTATTTGATCATTGTATAACTGAAACCCAAGCACAAAAATTTGTTAAGTCTACAACTGTACCTCATGGTGTTTCACTAATAAAAATTTAAGGAAAAAAAAGAAGTAATTATTTCCTAAAAAGTGTAGGTGTTACAGATCATTTCAATTGTCTAATAGCTCCAAACTTTGAAACAAGCTTTATGTGCAACTTATAACACATATTGATGATAGTTAAGCACAAAACATATAGTGACTTAGTAAGGTAAGAGGTTTTTGAAATTAATATAAAGACTTATGTTTCATTTAGTGGACCCTGATTTTCACCCTAAGGTTTAGAATATAGACAGTCTATGATTCTCAGAAGAAATCTGTACAGGCAAACATAAATCTATCACAGCGATACTAACCATGACACTAAGTACTGTAAGTTTTTGGAAAGATATACAGTAAAAGTGATTGCTTAATGACAACTTTAAAGTGAAAATTTTCTTGCCTAATTAAAAGACTGATAATTAATGGCATCTGTATTGAACTCTTCTGGAGTTCTTAGCTACTTGAGTTACAAATCAAAATCTAGGAATGTGCTATGCTTGTATATGTGTCTGATAATGAAAGACTGTTAAGAAAAATGATTTATTTAATTATGTCTCATCTAAAATATATGAAATTATTTTGGGAATACATGACACAGAGTTCTATGTATAATACCTGTAGCCACATTCCAATATGGCCCATGGCCCAGTTTTAAGAATTAAGTGATACTGTTATTACCTAGATAATTAAATAATGACTAGTGACACTGTGATATGATCTGTCTTGCTAAAAGAAGTGATTCTGACATTAACGCCAAAAATCCCATTGGTCTATATTTAT